TTAGTAAAAGTCATAAATTATTTTAAAATTAGTTATTTTTTCTTAAAAACCTAAAATATTTTTTTAAATTTGTAGATTTTCGTTAGTGGGTCATAGAAAAAATATACTGTACAACTCCAGTGGATTGTCCATATCCACTCTTGTTGCACAAACTACTAAACTCGTTCGAGTTTGGATTTCGCGTCGTTATAATATACCGTCTCGCAAACTAATAATGCATTTAGCAAATGTGGTTTGTGGATAAGACGTTCACTTTTCAAACCAGAAATCGTATAGATTCAGGTCTCGGTGTAATCATGTTTTGTTTCATTTTTTTTATACATACTCTGTTTAATTTTACATGGGTCTTATGTTCACAATGTGTCTTGTATTCATATTTGTCAATAAATTGTAAAAGAAAAAAATACCTATGTACGTGTTAAGTTAAATGTGTGTTACGCTGAAACCTTTTATCCAAAATAGTTTAGTTTTTTCTGAACAAAAAAAAAATTGTCAAAATAATCTAAACTTTTGTGGCTCCAGATGAATACCACAGATTTAACCTACACGTAAATATTACTTGCCAGAAGCTTGCTTGGCTATAGGTAATTATTTCGTAGAGCTGCATACACTACGCCAACGAACGGCATTTGCCATTGGTTCCTAAACATTCGTTGGCCGCCGTTAATATATATACATTTGTTGTTCGGTCAAACGTTCGTTGGGACACCTATCCGGATTAAATGTTCATTATGGTATGATACTTATATGGACATCCGTTCACATTTCATTCGCTCGAATCGCGGCAAACGCCAGCGAACCTTCGTTCATACAAAATCGTCTGAAAATAAAAAAAAAATGTTGCCGATCCATTTTAGATTTTGGTGCAACTTTGAGGAACTATTCCTTAGGGTCCCAGAGAAGAAAATTTACACTAGTTTGATTTTTATAAGCACTCCTTTCCACCTATTTAAATAAAGACTTTAAAAAATCGATATTTTTAAGCCTTATCGACTTTTCCTCTGAAATTTTTCTTTTTGAAGATAACTACATTATTAAAGCGGAATTCTGAGGGGGAAAGATTGTAGTTTAAGTGAGGGCATCGATAATTTGCTCAGTCAATACCTCTGATTAACGGCAGCGTGCTGAAAATGAAGTTTGGAAATTTTTAAAAAATTGCCTCATTCAGGTTATATAATGAACGTGTTGACTGCCAGATAAAAATCTGAAACTCTCAGAATCTACTGTTCTTACCTTTAACTTTAAATGACGGTACCACTTGTTTTGTTATTTTTATGTTTAGTGCATGTGCGAGTCGTTTTTTACAGCAAAAATCAACTCAATTTTTTTATTTTATAATCTTATAAATTCAGTTTTAAATTTTCAAAACTTTAAGCAGTTTTTTTTGCAAAGAGTGGGCTGCTCAGGTTGCCTTGTGGCTGCATTTTACCTATGATATATAACCTTAATTCCTGAGGAACATAAGTTGCTAAGTCTAAGCAGTTAAGACGCTAGAGTCGATTGAAATTCACGAAAAATGATTAAAAAACACTCATTTTCAGCACGCTGCCGTTAATCAGAGGTATTAACTGAGCAAATTATCGATGCTTACACTTAAACTACTATCTGTCCCCTCAGAATTCCGCTTTAATAATGTAGTTATCTTCAAAAAGAAAAATTTCAGAGGAAAAGTCGATAAGGCTTAAAAATATCGATTTTTAAAACGTCTTTATTTAAATAGGCGGAAACGAATGCTTATAAAAATCAAACTCGTGTAAAATTTCTTCTTTGAGACCCTAAGGAATAGTTCCTCCAAGTTACACCAAAATCTAAGATGGGTCAGCTTTGCCAATTAGACGATTTTAAATGGAATGACTCATATGCCTTCGTCTACGCCCCTTCGTCAGCATTCGCTGACACGGTCTTTACGCATACGCAGCTGAATACTGATTTAGGCATTTCAAAACAAAAGAACTTGTCGGTGGTATATTTAGAAGGTTGCGACATACAATAAATACGTAAAATCATGAATGTCAAAAACAATTAAAATATATTAAAAAAAGTGAAGGTGGCTACTTTCAACAATTTTTATAATAATTGTTAGTTTTGTTAATAATTAAATGTTAGTATTGTTAATAATTAGGTAATAGTTAATAAATTTAAGCCGTTCATGTGAACATTCTGAAATCCCCGCTAAAATTCTAATGCTATAATTATTATTGGCACTTGATTTTGTTTTATTTTTTCCTAAAGTAAAATAAGTTACTTACTTCTGAATTAATTAACTTTTGATATGAAATGAACTCAATGCTTGAAAAAAGAAAAAAAAGCAATTTCTACGCAACAGACTTGATCAGATTTGATCCCGAAGTAAAACGATTTTTATTTTTTTAAGCGAAAATCATGCGTCAGGCGAAAGAAAATCAAGAGATGAAATTTTCTCAGAAATAAATGAGGATTCCAAAAATAATTTTTATTTCAAGAATAGGCAGTGGCGTACCATTTTTTTCTCCAAAAATATTCAATGGAATACCCGTACGGATGCCACTGCTAAAGATAATAACATTATCTTTGCATCAGAAAATGCATCTTGATTCATAGAAGACGTGTGATAAATTTCATAAATATATCTACAATACTCTCACAGTTATTAAAAAAAAAAACTATTTTTTTTTTGAAAATTTTACCGCCCTGTATCTTAAAAGTTAGGAGGTTTAGGACAAACGCCATATGAAGTTTTTTCCTTAAAATGGGCCCAAGAATTACTCCCTTAATTAGCATGTCATTAACGAACACTCCCCTGTATTTTAGATTAAAAAAAGTTAGTCCCTTTAAATATAAATCCCGATCCTAATTAATATTAATTCCAAGTTTTCTCGAACAGTTATCAATTTTCTTCGTTATTACATCGATTTGAGAATTGGTTTCAACGTAATTGTAATTTGTTTTTAATAGACTATTTGCTTGTCTTCGTAAAAAAATATTTAATTTTTTTAGAATTGTTTAAACTTTTATTTTGATTGTCTTTAAAGTTGCATTATTGATATTAGCGTCAGCAACTGATCTGATTTATTTAGAAAATGTCTACCAAATCTTAGGTCTTTATCTTATATAGTTTCAAATTCATTTTTGGAACTGAAATTTAAAGCAATTAAACTTCCCACCTTAACCAATTAATAAGAAAAGCTAAATATAATTTTCCTGTAAACGTCCCAGTTTTCATTTTACAGGGTGATAAAGTGAATTTCATAAATATCTAAATATCTTCCCTTACGGTAAAGATTTTAACTTAAAAATATGTATATGATAAATATTCGTTATTAGTTAACACACTTTATTTCAATAATTTACAATAAGTCATTGCCGTAGAATCAAGGGTTATGAAAACAATTTTTATCCAAACTTTTTGAACACCCTATATTTCAAAAAAATAAAGATTAATAATTATTCATCACGCAATTAATCACAAAAAGGGGCTCCTAGTTGAACTCTGTAAAACATTCCATTTCTGAGATTTTTCAGTTTTACTCCTACTCAAACATGAAATCTATGTACAATTTATTTTATTAAGGGCTTATTTCATAATGAATATTGAAAGGTCCATTATCTAATGGGACCAATACAAGATTGTATGGACTTAATGGTTAATAATAATGTTTATTTTACTTTTTACAACTAAATTCATTTACAATGTAAATAAATATGGGTTAATCCGAAAAAACCATAAGGTTGTGCTCGGAAATTACTTCTGTCTATTAGATTAGATTTAATTAGGACTGTGGGCCATGTGGCCTCCCCCACCTCGACCTTTTCAGATCTATTGTGGATATCCCTTATTCGTTGTTTAGAGTACCTTGTCTAATTCGGTCTTTTGTAGTAGACTCCATAGACTAGGAAGTAGTTCTCTTGCGTAGCTGCTGCCCTTGGTTTTTCTTCTCCAAGTGTAAAGAATCTCAGTTTTGCTAGACCTTCGCAGTGGCACAATACGTGTTCTGCAGTTTCCTCTTCTTCCTGACAGAATCTGCGCAGTCTTTTGTCAGACCGATATTATACATGTTTCTTAAGCCTACAATGACCTGTGAATAGACTTACTAGTACTCTAGTATTTTTCCTATTAAAGCTTAGTAGATGCTCGGTGAGATTAGGCGATGGTCCTTTTAAGAACTCTTTGGCCTGTCTCTGTCCTGGTAAATTTTTCCACCACTTCCGAGATTTTTTAAACATTCACTGCTTTGTGCATGTTCTGATAATTATCGTCTGTGTGACACCACAGAAGGGTTCATCCTGTTTATTAGTAGCTCCATACTTGCTGATAAAATGGACCTTTTAAAATTGATTATGATATGGACCTTTAACTCTTGAAAGTGGAATGTTCTACAAAGATCAAACAAGAGTCCGTTTTTTGTAACAAATTGCATGAGGAATAATAATTATTCTCCATTTTTATGGAATAGGTGTTTAAAAAGTATGGATTAAAATTGTTTTTTAGACCTTGATACTACGCTAATGGATTATCGTAATTGAGTGTGTTAACTAATAATGACGATAAACTAACATATACATAAAGTTAAATTCTTTTACGTACGAATATGTCTGTTAGTAGTGAAAGTGATGAAATTATGAGCACTCCACCGGAGATTTTAGAAAAAGCTCAAGCTGTCACACATAATTTGTTACCGCTAAAATCCAAAGAAAGGTACGAAATTACCTATCGAAAATTCATGGATTGGCGATACAAGTATATTATGTCCTTTATTTAACAGAAGAAAATAAGTGGGCGTAGAAAAAGTATAGTACGTTACACGAGTTGTAAACTTTTTCACTTCGTGCGTAATGGGTTACTTACGACTCTTGTAGTTTTTGTTATTAATTGGTTAAGATCTACAAATCCCCAGTTTACGTGTAGAAACTATATTTAAAAATTATACACTTTTAGTCAGCTTTGTGTTTTTTTTTTTGGTAATACGGTACCTACCTATACCTATTTAAGAGTATACGTGTACATATATTAATATTTTTAGAGGGATGTATCAGTTTTTCGGCTCAGGCAAAAAGACATTGCTAGGATATGTAGAAGACATAAAAAATAAAGGCACATTATCCACTAGAATACCTATTTTAATAACAGATAGCCAATACATTTGTGGAAAACGAATGGTATTTGGTGTTAATAACATAGCCACAGCTATCCAAATTATAAATTCTTTGATAATAGGAAATGAAAATGGAACAGAAAGTATCGAAGCACCTAGGTTTCATATTGGTAGTAATGGAACAGTAGGAATTGAAGGTACAAATTTAATAAATGTTATAATATATAGACACCCAAATAATTTGAAATGATCTACAAACTTGAAGGCCATGATCAATAATTGGTTGACCTCTAAATCGATATATTTTTTTATGATTTTAATAATTATAATTTTACTTTTAGATTACCACTTACCTTCTTTTAATGATGAAGTTCTGAAATACTTGGAGATACTGACTTTAAAGCCTTACGAGGTACCAGAACCTTACGAGAGCAGCAATATTGTAGAAAAACTTAAAGATGAATTGAGCTCTCATTCGGACAGTAGAGGTGGAGGAATTGCTAGTAGATTTTAAAATTATTACAGCAATGAATTTCTGTAATTTTCCTTTAGTTACATTGGGTCTATCTGTTTTTTTTTTTTAACTTTTAAAAATAAATCTATCGATCAACACTTTGGCACAGTACTGTATTTTACACATTGGTGTATATTATTGTATAACAATTTTTAATTCAAATGGTTTATTTTGTTGATATACTAATTTCCAATAGTGTAATTATTGTTGATTATATAGGTATGTATATTTAATTTAACACTTATTTATTTTTCAAATGTTGATTATTGTTGCAAGAAAAATGTTATTTTATAACTTTTAAATAATAAATATATTTAAAAAGTTAAAAAGTGAAGTTTAATTTTTGAGTTCTCAAAAAATTTCTTTAAAGTTGGTACTAGCCATTTTTTGCTGTATTTAGGTACTAATTCACAATAAAAATTGCGTTTGAATACTAGGAAACCACAGAAATGAACTATAAGTGTGCCAATACCTGGACTGACAATAGGCAAGTAAAAAGACTTCTAAAGCAGATAATCGGATTTACCAAACAGGTAATAAATCACTTATGTTTGTCTACGTCCACATGGATATTAGCTGTTCTACGCACAGACTACAAAAAGTATGCCATTGCGTTTAACTGTAGGAATATATTTCATATCCATTCTATATAGTAAGAACACTGCACAAATATAAAATCCATAATACTAGGACAAACAGATAAGCTCTCTTTTCTTTTAGTTCGATTTTCTTAGTTTAATATGTTTTAATTTGGTGTAGATAAGTTTAGTTATTTTGTTCATTTGTGATTGTTTTGGTTTTTTATTGCGTTATAAAAAATAATTGTTTGCTGTGCAGTGACTGGTTATACCAGTAACAAAAAACAATATTTGCCTTACTTTCCAACTGCTAAAGAGACTTGAAATTTATAGGTGCAAAATGCTATCAAAGACATAATATGTTCGAAGCATTTTTCAGATGAATATTTTTGCATTAAAGAAAAATATTGAAATTGCCGAAGAATAAGCGGAAACTGAAAGATGGATGATATTGTACCTTTCTCTAGAGGCCAAGACATTTAATCACTTAAAATTTAAAAAACCTCCTTAACATTTAAATAATTTAGCAAAAAACGTGGACTTACTGATGAAGCTAAACGTCTCTTTTTTTAGATGTAGAATGTATTTTGAAATAAGAATTCTTAATAAAAATATCAAAAAAACTTCCAAAACGCGAAAGCGCAAAATGTCAAAAATAGAAAACTTTAAATTTACCTCTATATGTTTAAAAATGAATTAAAATTAATTTTTTAAATTAATTACAAAAATATTTAATCATAATTTCTTTAGCTATATAGAACTATCATAAAAGGCTAAATTGATTTGTTTATAAGTAAAAATATAGTGTTTTAAAGACACAAAAACATCTTGCAATGTAAATAAATTAAAACCGAATAATGTATACATTTGTTTTTTCTATTAAATAAATGAATTATATTGTACACTCACTTTGACTTATTTGTACCTATTTAGATAATATAAAATATTCATAACGAATATTTCAGCAATTTTTAAACAAAAATACAGTGCTAAAGTGTCCTCATATATTAATATTACCAATACTTTTGTCACGCAATGACGTCATGCTCGGCTCGATTCAAAGCTCGTACCCCAAGTTAGCTTATCTGTTCGTCCTAGTATCATGTATAAAATCCACCAATCAGTTTATATCTGGTCACTAGACAACGATTATTTTAACCGACTTCAAAAAAGGAGGAGGTTCTCAATTCGTCGGTATATTTTTTTTATGTATGTTCAGCAATAATTCTTTAACACGGTGTCCGATTTCAATGATTCTTTTTTGTTAGAAAGGAGGTACCTCAGGGGTAGTCCCATATAGATTTGGTCAAAATCTATAATTGGGCTCATGAGAAAATCCTCAAACTCTTCATTTTTTATGTATGTTTAGCGATAATTATTTACCACCTTGTCCGATTTCTATGATTCTTTTTTGTTAGTAAGGGGGTACCTCAGGGGTGATCCCATATAAATTTGGATAAGATGTGGTGATGGCATCTGCACGATTTTAAAGTCGGTTTTTTAAAATTACTTTTAATACTTGAAATAAACTTTGGTCACTTCGTCTTGATTATGCACATTTTAATGCGCTCAGTATATCAATCCAAATATACATTTTTGCAACAAATAACCATGTCGGCCAAAATGAGCAGAATTTTATTAGTGGTAATAGCCTAGGTTACCTTCAGGAACAATATGCATTATACACACATAGAACTACGCACAGAACAGGAAAATCCTAACGGTTTTTCTTAACAGGGCAGGGATTCTTATGTGCGAACTCAATACGTTACGTATTGAATAGAGAGAGATATTACATAAGAATCGCATTCTGTCGAACAAAGATAGGCGTCTCAATATATGCTGTATTGAAAGATGAGAATCCCACTGCTGATGTTTTTTACAAGTATTAGAAATTAAAAATTTAAAAAAACCGACTTCAAAAACGTGCAGATGCCATCACCACATCTTAACCAAATGTATATGGGACCACCCCTGAGGTACCCCCTTACTAACAAAAAAGAATCGTATAAATCGGACAAGGTGGTAAAGCATTATCGCTAAACATACATAAAAAATGAAGAGTTTGAGGATTTTCTCATGGACCCAATTATTAGATTTTGATCAAATTTATATGGGACCACCCCTGAAGTAGCCCCTTTCTAACAAAATTATTGAAATCGGACACCGTGTTAAAGAATTAACGCTGAACATACATAAAAAAAAATATCGCGACGAATTGATAACCTCCTCCTTTTTTGAAGTCGGTTAATAAAACAAGTATTTTAGTTAGTTTACGTAAGAAACTGTAGTTTCTTGATAATCTATATTCTGAGTAAAATCTGTGCAATTTAAAAGTAGTTGGACTGTTGGGTACAGTGATTTACAAATTACATACATTCATTTGTTAAAGGTAGGTGCCTACATGCCTAAGGGCAACTTTTCCGTGGTATAGGGTGTTAGGAAGGGGGTACCTCAGGGGTGATCCCATATAAATTTGAATAAGATGTGGTGATGGCATCTGAACGGTTTTGAAGTTGGTTTTTAAAATCACTTTTAACACTTCTTGTAAATTTTAAATAACTGAAAATTACCTTGGCGTAATAAGGTTACATGCCACATCGTAAGTTTTGAGAAAATTGAGTTTTAAATTTGTTTTAAATCTGTGAAATATAAATTAAAAAAATATGAGAAATTTAAAATCTGCCAGATGTTTAAGAACCATCTTTAGCTAGTTATTTCCCTTAATCTTCTTAAGAAATATTGAAATACCATCATTTGACAATTTACAGTCTGTTCGCTATACTTTCGCGGGTTTCGGATTAATAAAATTATGCAAATTAGTCATTGACAACCAGTTCCAATAAGCCTCTTCCCAAGAAATTAGGTAAAATTGTCCTAATGGTCAGATTTAAATTAAAATAACATTAGGGTAGGTACTAAATATGTTACAAATATTGCAGTTGAATTGATTCTTTGCAAGTGTTGACATTGTATGTATTGTAACGGTTGGAACCGTTTTCGTTATTTTGACACAAACATCTCTACTCAAATGTCATATGTCGTTTATGCCTTGCGTCAAAAGTTGGTATTTCATTTCGATTTGTATCTGTCAACGAATAAGTTGATTTAAATTTTAAATTATCTTGGACATCCGATGTACTAATTGTCTTTTAATATTATTATTGGCCGTCTGATTTTATAAAGTAAGCTTTAATACCGATATATTGTTGAAAATATATATTTTGTACAAGAATTTCTTAAATGAAATGTAAAATTTTAAACATAACCTCAATACATGAATAACACATGATAACACGTTTTATATAATTTTATATATTATTTTGTTTTTGTTTGGAATGAGATATTATGCTTTACTATTTTTAAATATGTTAAATAAGATTTTTCCTTTTCATATTAATTTTAGTCTCTGTGAAACTATTCACTTAATAGTTTAAATTGTTCAATTATTAGTTGAAGGCATTTTATCTGGTTCCTGTGCAAATGTCCTATTTCCTTTCTTAATATTTTTACCTTTTTTCCTTTTAGGCTGGCTATATCTAGACGGTTTATTTCGAGTTATATTAAGAAGTTTAGTTAGAACTATATCTAAAGAAGTTTATTTCGAGTTATATTAAGAAGTTTAGTTCAAGCTATATCTAAGAAGTTTAGTAAGAGTTATATCTAAAGAAGTTTATTTCAAGTCCTATCTAAGAAGTTTATTTCAAGTCCTATCTAAGAAGTTTATATCAATTTTATATCAAGAAGTTGATGAAGATTTATACCTAAGAGTTTTGTGCTATCCGAAGAATATCGTTCAAGCCCCTTTGAAGAAGGCCTAGAAATCACTCCTTATATTCTACCTCCTGTTACAACAGATAAATTTTATGCAATAAACCATCTAAATTTGAATTAGTAAATCTCTGTGAATAAGAATTTGTCACTACATTATCTAAATCTTTGTTTAAATATAATATCTTAATGGTTAGTGATTTTCTATATTTTTATCACTAATCTATAGTCAATGATGATGACGACGATTATGATATTTTGGATGATAATGACCGATTTTCATTTTTGTTGGCAAGTTCAATTTTTTTATTTTTCATTTGAAAATCTCTACATGGAACAAATTTTTATGTTAGAAAATATTTTATTTGAGCTAAATAACCCTCTTATTATACATAGACCATATTTTCTGTGTGAAGTGCAATATAAAATTATTATTATTAGGTTTATAATAGCCACATTAGACTCCATTAATGAAGAAGTTTAATTCTGCTCTCAATTATACAAAAGATTCTTCATTATTATTTAATTAAAAAGTTGTACATTATTTTTCATTTCATTTAACCAGTTGATATTTCCCCAAAGAACAGGTCAAACTTTCGGGTACTTACCTGGAAATACTCATAAAATTTTTAATCCGAAACCCGCGTAAGTATAGCGAACAGACTGTATATTATAATGATTTATACAGGGTGATAATTTAAAAACTTACAATGGCTATATCCACATCCCATGAACAAAAGATGATATTAGAAAATGCTTAAAACCGTTTTTACCATATGAAGGGGAACTTAAATGACAAAATATAAAACTCACCCCATCAACCCCCTATACAGCACCTCCCTCAACAAATCAAAAAATAAATAATAGTAAAAAATGCTTTTTAAAGATATGTTTTACTCTACAGATGGTGATTAATAGTACATAATAATTAAAAAATTATTTTAACATAAGATGTTATTTTTATCTGATTTAAATATTTTTAGTCCAGAAGAATAAAATAAATTGTTTTACTTTTCTGATATCATCTTTAGTTCATGAGATTTATCCTTTGCGATTTTTTAAGTTGTCACCCAATATAGTAAGCGGAACAAAAATAATTCAATTTTGCATTGTGCTCTTACAGAAATTCTCTTAGCGTTTGTTATTTTAATAAAGAAATAAAATATCTAAATAGTGTATTAAAATATTTCAATAAACAGAAAATTACATTTGATGATAAAATTCAATAAAAGACATTCAAAAAATAACAATCACAAATATTTTCAAAAAACAACTTTCTGCTTAGCCCAAAGTTGTGTAAATTTTAAAGTTTCACAAAATCGGATCAGTCTTTCAGAAAGTCCGAAGATTTGAAAAAAAAATAATAATACTTAAAAATTAAGTTTGGTCGATTTACACATAATACAATTAAGTTTATTCTACATTACTTGACAATTGACAGACCATTGAGGTTTTCTAAAAGTCGACATTGAACACAGACATCGGTGTGTCAAGAAGACAATAAACATTTTCTCTTGGTATTGAGAGATTTAAAATAATTAAGTCATTTGTCGAATGTTGAATAAACTTTGAATAACAAATAATATGCAATTGGATTTCATCATGTGGTTTCAGGGTTCAATATCGGATCATAAATGTGTTTAATAATCCATTTGACACTAAACAGATCAGTGTGTTCTACATGTTTAGTCAGATACCCTACAATCGTCTCATTTAAATAAGTCCTAAAATCGTTTCTAAAATTATTATTAATTTCGACTCGTTCTAAAAATTTCACCGTCGATTTCAGAGCACATATCACAGACACTTTAGTTTTGTATAACATCATTGGAGAAGGATGTTTTAAAATTGAGTCCAAAAGAACCGTTGTAACCATAAGGGTATGTTCCTCGATAAAGATGGACTTATCCTCGTAGTTGAGACCGTCTTCTAGGGTCCAAAGAAGATCATGGAGTAATTTATTGCAGTGAGTTAGGAATGGAACGTTTTCAGCATATGAGTTGAGTTCACCACGTTCAAATACCTTAAAAATAAAAAGTGTTTGGTTTATTCAATTTTGCTTTAACAAATAACTAAATAATTCAATTTGAAGTATTTCTTGTTTTGTATATTTATATCTATCTTTAAACTAATTATTTTTCAACTACTTGGCTTAAAATGTTAATATACTAGATTTAAGTTAAGAAAAGGCAAAACTGATAGTAAACATGTTCACATTAAGGCTTATATGAAAATAAGTAATCAATTTTATTAAAAAAAAAAAATGTATGTTACACATTTAGAAAATGAATCTATTAAAACTAAATGGTGCATATACAAGAAAATACAATACAAAGCCACTCAAAACAAACTAAGTATTAAATAACAGTGAACTATGACATTGTACACATAGTAGTGCTGCCTGCTAAGACAAGAGGTCATATCTATAAAATGAACATTTTTATGTTTAAGGACTCGTAGCGGCTGTATCTCAGAAACTATTTATGCTACAAATTCGACAAAAAAAATGCTTTTTAACAAAGTTAGTCAAGAGAAAATACTGGAAATTATTTAAAATTTTCTATTTTAACCGTTAGAAGGCGTAATTCGCTATGATAATGCAAAAAAAAACACTTTTCCCCTATGATAATAATAAAAGAACTGTAATTTGACCAAATTTTACAAAAGTTTTATCCAACACTTTTTGTTCTATTCAATAAAATAACTGGTAGGGGCGATTGAAAACTTTAATTTAATAAAACGTAACTAGGGTGTCGTTTATCAGATTTTGAAAAACTTAGTATCGATTAAAAGCAAATTGATTGTTTAGTAAAATATTTCAATATAATTCTGATTCAATTGTTTAAACGAGCACTAGCCCAGATAGCACAGGACGTCCCATGGACGTCCTGATTTGGTCCCGGACCTAAATAGGACGTCCACAGGACTTCCGATTACCGTGAACACTAGGACGTCCTTCGAAGGACGTCCTATTTTGGTCCCGTTTCGACAAAGCGTTTAGTTTTCGATCCGAGTCCAGGACGTTAATGGGACGTCCATGGGATGTCTATGGGATTTTCTATGTACTAGCATCGTTGGTCTTTCAATCGATAACTTGAAATTCAACGTTTTGTTTTTGCAAGAGTATGAGGACAGAAAACCTAACCTATCATTTATTTTCAAATGAACAACAACAGCTACAATTTTCGGCATTAAATAATTAAGTTATATAAGTGAGTTATTAGATTAACGAAGAAAAAGAATGTTATATAGTGTTATTTGTTATTTTTTTGATGTTGGTGGTAAAGTGGTTATAAAGTGAAGTGAGTGTTTTGTGTTGAGGTGAGAATAAGTAATGTGTATTGGCGGTAGCCGCTGCGCGCTGGCTGAAAGAAAATACCTTAATGGCGGAAAGTTGGAACAAAACTAATTTTGACAAAATTATCAAACTCAGTTATGTCGACCCAAGCTATAAGTAGGACCCAAGGTTTCATCTTACCAGCGCTGTGTTAAATTTAATTCATTCCTGTTTTTTTTTTTTGGAAACTGAACACGTTTAACTCTGGCTAGTTTTTTCAGGATAAAAGTTGTTAAATAAAGCCCTTTTATTGTTAACATTTTTGTTATTATTACCATTTATGGATTATGGTAAAATATCGTCCCTCGGACGTCTGATTTACGTCCCTAAGATGGACGGAAACAGGACATTAGGACGTCCAATTGACGTCGCGGTACCAAAAGAGGACGTCCTTTATATCCCTGAAGGACGTCTTTTAAACGTCCATAAGACGTCCGTGTGCTATGTGGGAGGTGGCGCTGTTTAAAAAGTAACCATTTTTCAAAGTTTTCTTGAAAATTTTAAATCGCGTATAAGAAAAGCACGTGTTACAAGTGTTGTTAAAAACTGTTCACGGTTTCTTTTATATATCTTTAAAAGTTCTCTTTTTTAAATAAAAGTATTTTAAAACGATTTCGCTTAATCCACAAACCCTCATAGGAATGTAATAATTTATATAAGAGAATCGAATTCTGACAAGAAACAATAAAAACCAGGTCTTATTATCTTTTTCCTATCGGAATGTAAGCAAAACTCTATAATGGTGGATAATCCACCTAGATATTATTAAATAAAATTCTTTATATTGTAATGCGAGCCATTTCTTTATTCAGTCATGCTCTAATCCTTCAAGTCCCTCGCTGTCTTATTTGGCCTTTAAGGCTCAACTTGTCCGATTATCATACATAATTAAACCCCTTAAGACCAAACATATGTGACGACTATGGCGAAGGCGCTTTCGATTACTATTCCAGAACGAACGGGATAATGTTACTAGTTTTGGCAAGAACATTCTAGACCACCAGAATTTCAAATGTGTATATACATATTGGTGGAGGAACACGGAACAGTCAGTCGTATACATAGAGTTGTGAAGATAAATAATGAACAATTTAAAGACATTCGAAATATATAAATGGGCCCGTTCACTTTCATTTTTAAATGTGAATTAATTATATATTTATAAAGATATTAAACTCTTTTGTCTGGTGGTACTTTTCCCGTTAAGATATGTTTGCTAGAAGTAAGGGAATTCCCATAAAATTCTTTCAGTGACTCATTGCGTCAGAAAATCCCTAATTCCGTTCACGTCTCGTATCGGTTATGCTTAAAGACGGCGAGGTTGTCGGAAGTATCCCTATTATAGCATTTCTGCATTTATATATGTAATTTAAATAGTAAAATTCCATTATTTTTCTAAAAATCGTGATGTTATATTTTCAGATTTAAAGCTGGGAGCTTATTTTTTACTTTTTAATTAAAACAATTATTATTACTCAGGCTGAAAATTAACCAGACCATAATCAAAAAGTAGAAATTTGATTTGCAATATTTATCTGGTAAACGTGGCAACGTTGCATTTATTTCTAGAAGTGTGTGTAGACAACACTATTTAGAAGTACTTACAACGTTGTCACGTTTACCAGATACATTTTCTCAAATAAAATTTCGATCTGGTAATATTCAGCTTGAGTAATACTAATTGTTTTTATTAAAATTTAAAAAAGATAAGGTGTCCAGCTTTATCTGAAAATATAAACACATTATTTAAAAAAAAATAATATATTTTTATCATGTAAATTTCTTTAATAAATTCAGAAGAGGAATGGTGGTGCAATGATACATCCGACAACTGCGCCCTTTTAACTATTAACCGATACGAGACCTGAAGGGAATTAGGGGTTTTCTGACGCAATGAGTCACTGACAGAATTTTATGGGAATTCCCTTACTTCTAGCAAAAATATCTTAACGGGTAAAGTACCACCAGACAAAAGAGTTTAATATCTTTATAAATGTATAATTAATTCACATTCAAAAATGAAAGTGAACGGGCCCATTAGAATAGTATTGTTTTAAAATAAATAGATGTTCAAATAAACTGTTGTTTAAAATAAACAAACGTAACAATATATTAATCTAGTTAATTAGGTACATATTTAGTTAAAGTTTACTGGTTTAATGAAACTAATTGTGAAGTAAATATTAAATATATTAATACAACAAAACAAACAACTAAAAACAGAACAAAATAGTAATAGAGTAAGTAGAGAAGATCTAATTCAACGAAAACAAAATTCAATACAGTGCTCGAATTGTTTTATCAAAGCAAATATCTAGTCTAGTTGCATTGGCAGCAGCTTCTATTTCAGCCCTAGGAATATGATCAATTGCAGTTTTTATCCGTTGAATTAGATCTTCTTTATTTATTTATTATTAGTTTGGTAAACTAACAGCCGGTTGCAAGAACGATTGTTAAAATCTCTTGCTAGCTAATGAACTCATTACTTTATTCACTCCCTAAATTATCTTTTAAATAATATCGTGTTTTGAATTTATTTTAAAACACGATTTTATTCAGTGAACACTTGGGAAGGCGCTTTTCGTAGTCCTATTTAAATATGGGTGAGCAATCTCTATAACGATATAAATAATTGCGGAAAACGCGTCGTGTAGCCAGATTTACGACGTTCAATAGCTATCGAGGATCGGAATGCATTTTTAATGGTTCATTAGCGTTAATGAGTAGTAGAATGGAAATGAGAGAGCAAACGGAGGAAACCTCTGAGAGAGCAAACGGAGAAAACCCCATGAGAGAGCAAACGGAGGAAACCCCATGAGAGAGCAAAATGAGGAAACCATCTGGTGAACACATGGTAAAAAAAAAAAAATTTAACACATGTTGACCATCTGGCATTTAATTTAATATCTCTGGGAATGATAACAACTTCATTTTCTCAGGTGAACATATGGCGACCATCTGGCTTGTAATTTAATACCCGCATATAATAATATTTGCACACATGTTGACCATCTGGCATGTAATTTAATATCTCTGGGAATGATAACGAGTTCATTTTCTCAGGCGGACACATGTTGACCATCTGGAATGTAATTTAATATCTCTGGGAATGATAACGACTTCATTTTCTCACGGAATATTTTTAACACACATGCATGTAATACGACACTGCAATTTTTTAACATCTGGTGATTATCTGGCAAACATATGGCATGTAAATTATAATGATAACGATATTCTGGCAAACACATGGTGTAATTTTTTTTGATGCAATGTTTTGAAATACATGTTAATAATCCTTTGGTAGAGGGGAGACACGCTAAAGTTTGGAGAAATCAAACACTTCCCCCACCACTAAAATGGCTAATAAATAGTGAGAAGCTCTTAGACACCGACAGTACTCTGCCAACATGGAATCGGTCAACTATTATAAAATAAATCCTATTAAGAGATCGGTGGGTGAAAAAGATTTTATTTAAATAAATCAAATTCGAAATATGTTGCAATAAGTTTATTATATAAATTCAATTTTATACCATGTATTGAATAGTGATGAGCGATATTTCACGAACTGTGATATAATCACTGATACCAACAAATATCAAGTCGTTCCCGTTACCAATTTGTAAAAAAAGGCGTGAAGTGATCAAGCTCACACACAGTATTGGTTTCGTATTTCGTACTCA